GTTACCCTGCGTTTTCAACATGAAAACAAGAATAATTGTGTTAATCACCTGCGCCAATGCGATTATGTAAAACTTTGCAAAAAAAGTATAAATGGCCGTCACGTGATCATGGAGTCATGTGATGTCGTAACAAAAGTTAAAATACACATAAAGCCAAAAGAACTCCTTATAAGATTTGGCCATATTTGAGTTCATAACCAACTAATAAATCTCAAAATCGATTTTGCAACGCAGTGTTACAATTTGAGTGCGTTTAAAGCTTCAACAAACCTTAACATTACTGCGTTACTACTGGAACAATATTTTAATGATCTTCTATTTAAACTTACATAAAGTATATTTTTTTTCAAGATAGTCCTCACTGAAGTATAGTTTAATATTTCAGTATGGATGTAAATCAAACATGTTGTAGAAACACTGTACAAATATACTGTATAAAGTGTATTAAATTGACTGTATCGATACTTTGGATCTTAATACGGTATTTGTTAGGATAATTACGATGAAATTATAGAATTTATCAAAGAAAAAGTACAATAATAAATATGTTTATATTTAAAATAGTTCAATTTTATGAGAACAATAAATGACTTTGATTATGTTTTCAAAGGAAAAGAAAGAAAATGCATTGCTTCAGTCCTTGCACAAATCAGCACTTACCGAAATAAGAGTTATTTCAAATGTAGTTCAGTGCACGTTTTTATCACTGAATGAATTGAAGTAGCAGATCTGTAATAAGGATTAACATGGTCATTTGTCGTCACGCTCAAGTAATGTTTGAAAGACATCTTTATTTGTACGTTTGTCTTGTGCAGGAGGACTATCTATCTTATCTTATTGTTTCGATATCTTTGATCGCATGAAAACCATTTAAAATACAGGAGGCCTTTACTTAACCGTGTATTCCTCTTCAGTTCCCAATTGCGGTCAAAGGAGCACCGTTGCAGACATTCTTTTTAATTTTGTTCATTGCCAAAAACGTATGGATATTTTAAACACCGGTTTTTAAATCCTTTGAAAACAAATATCTATTTAAATTCATCATCCAGAATATGACCCACCAATAGAATTGTTTTTTTAGTATCAACATCTGATTTACATTAATTTTTGTTTATTGTTGAACAGTAATCTTCTAATATTTCCATTTCCAATTGTTTTCTCTATGATATACACTACAAAAGTGTATCTTGTTAATTTCATGATAATACCCTGTGGTATGTATGTTTCTCTACTACTGAAAAGTCAGGTGTCAACCTGCATGTATATCACTGGCGTATAAATATACTCAAGAAAAAATAGATGTTTTAATTGTTTACTAAGTAATTTGATATGATATATCTTTTTAACAAACAAAATAAATAATAAATTATCTTAGGCTCGAAAGCAAGTCACTAGTGCAACACTGTCCACTATGACCGAGGCCTCGCGAGTCCGAGAACACCACTTCCGTAACAGCTACGTGGAGAAATTGACATTGCCACATGGATCTTCACGTACTCCATCATCTGATACAGACATCGTCCCTTAGTCATTACCATCCGACTTCTTAAGCAACTCAACTTCTTCTGTTATCATAACATCCATACAAATCGGTTATTTGACCATGCTGACCAGCTCACGTTTCATCAACTGCAACATTGCATTCAATATGGCGGCAGAGAAATTACATAGTGCCTATATATGTTTGTGCTTCCGACAACCTAAATCTAGGTCACATATATAATTAAAGTCAACAAGATTACTTTGATCATCATTTAAAATTCTTTTGTTGTTTATTTTATAAATGTTGATGTTTGACTACGGTAAATATAAATAGTCAATAAATTTGTTTCGTGTTTTTGGGACTACTGTAAATCACTTTTTATTCGCGAGAACTCTATTTTCGCGTAATTACGCGAGACAGAGTGCTCGCGAAAATTTAACTCTCGCGTATAATAGTATTCCTAAATATCATATAGAGCAATATCCACAATTCGTGAAAATTTTGTCTCGCTTATCAAGAGTCAATGACTATCTCGCGAAAATAAGGTGTCGCGAAAATTAAGTGATCTACAGTATTTTGTATAGTAAAATTTGACATCATGGGGCCTTGTGCATTTCAAATCTACTCAATTATACGGTATTTCGATTAATTTTAAGATGGTTATTTCAAGTAAAAATGGAAATATAAGGAATCACTGTCTATTTTTGATGGTATCCCAGGGACATCAATTATAGTGGGAAACATGGGATAATTTTAGCAAAACGGGCGAAGCAAATTATCCCATGTTTCCCACTATTGTTGATGCCCTGGCATACCCTCAAAACTAGACAGTGATTCCTTAATTCTACGTTTCTGCTTTACTGATTTCATGAAGTTTCAGCGTTCAACATAGATATGTTAATTCAAATTCATTTCCTTTTTTGTTTTAACGCTTTATTTGATTGGAAGAAAATAAGTTTATGTTTTATTTACTTGGGTTGCCTTCAAAACAATGACTTACGTAAAAATGTATTGATTCGCTTGATGTTACATTTAAAATATGAATAGTTAAAAGGCGTTTTAAGAGACGATTGCCTTCTTTCTTATACCAAATGACTGCAAATTAAATAATAAGTAATGAAGTAAATAGCAATCAAAGTTACGCTGGTATAATTTTAGTTGTAGCAGTTCACGCTTTTTTTTGAAAACATACTATACAGTTATATTGTAATATAACTTGGGTTTCTATCTAATTCATTCTTTATTTGCCTTATATGATTGCAGGGGAAAGACCTTACCGGTCCCCAGAATAACGCGCTAAAATGTAGTGTCACCGAAGGCGACTTCATTATATTTGAGATCGCATGAGCGATCGAAAAGGAGAGATTTTTTGGCCTTTTGACCCTTAAAATCGAATTCAACGGTTAAAAGTTTAGTTTAAAATTTCGTTTTAATCGTAGTTTTTAACCTTATTTACTGAAAAAAAATTTCTCTTGGAAAAAATCGTCGAAGAATGATTCTGAACTGCAGTGCATACTTAGTGACATTTCTTTCGGATTAAGCCATTTTTCCATGTGTAAACAAACGAACGAAATGTCTTTTAAACTGAATTATATGGTCTCGGAAAATCAGAAACATCTGGATTTCTTAATTAATGTAAAAGAAAGATTTACTTACCCTTATCAATCGGATGGTATCCAGGGACTAAGACGTTAAGACGAAATCTCTCGGACAGATGCTAAACTAAACCTTATCAGTCGAACAATCATGATATTGTGCGAGGACTTACTCTAATCTCTCGGATGAATGCGAGACTAACCCTAATCAGTCGAAAACTAGTGTAAGGACTAACCCTAATCTCTCAGGTGGGTGCAATACTAACACTTATCAGTCGAATAGTGTGCAAATTTATCCCATTTCAGTTGAGAGACGTTAATGTTACGTCATAGTCCAATGAGCGCTAGAATCTTGCGGATCTGGGGACCGGCAAAGTAAAGTCTACCCATTGCTAAAAGCAAACGATGGATCTGACTATCTTGCTCCTTCTCCTAGGTTTTCTCTGTTAGATTCTGATTGATTTCGATTTTGTAGGTTGTTGCTCTTTGTTTTCACCTTTTATTTCTAATTTGTTTTTGATGATCACATTGTAACAATCTAACGCCACCTTGCTTTTGAAAACTGTATTGAGAAATATTTTTTTCCGTCTAAGAGAGGACTTTGTATGGATAAACAATGGATAAAATAATAAAATTTCTATCTTTGATTTTATATCAAGATTTATTAACTCAATTTTCAATGAACTATTCTATTTTTAAATTTATTTTTTATAAACAAATCTATTGGTGTATATTGAGGATACAATAATGAATAATTCAATCTTGCCTTTACTTTTCATTTACAATTACATCTTTTTGAAATATTTAAAGATGATTAAGGATATTTTTGTAACCAGTTTTTTGACCAAACAAATTGAACAAAACACTTCTAATTAGAAAACGTAGTAATCATTACGTTACATTATCTTTCATTGAAAAAGGAAGTATTTTTCTGATGAATGTCTTCAATAATAGAGGAACATCACGATCAAGCAGTATTTATTAATTAAGATGATAAATGTCATCAGGAATAGACTAGATTGAAACTAAAGCTTAAAATAAAATTTTAAAACAATTTTACACATGCATCTTCAAGCCATCAATCCAATTTTTAAAACGAATTCAATGTTGTGACTGTTAGTGGCGCTTTAATTTGTGATTAACAGGTTGACAAGGATAACGACACAGGAAAAAAAGAAAGAGAGAAATTCATATTACATGTATAATCAATTTAACTGAATTGATTATAAATGTACATGTAATATGAATTTCTCTCTAAGCCTTAATTGTGCCCATCCCGGGGATAAATTGTGGAAATGTTTTCAATAAATAATTAATTGTATTTACGGATTACATGCTATATTTTGAGTGAACATTTGTTGAAATACTAGCATATAACGTCCTGATAAAAACATGCAACTATACTATAGTAAATGAAAAGCTTAAAAAGAAATTGGAAAGAAAATGATCTAATACACACATTAAAAATTCAAGGATCGAATATAAATCAAATATAAATTTACTTCATATTCATAGTTTCAATTCATAGAAAATTGATCTATTCCTTTTAATATTATGAGCATGATTTTGAAACGCGTATAGGGGCCTGAAATGTGCTCTTTACTAATAAATTTCATTGAAATAGAATAACATGATATCATTAATATTTGTGCATTTGAATTACAATTTCAATATTACCAGTCAGACGATTAAAAAATTCGATTTAAAAGTTAAAAAATGAAAATAATGAATTAGCTGACAACAAATGCTTTCAGACAGACAGTAAGCATGAATTTACCTTTAAAGTAAGTTTAATAATACTTGAGACATAACAAAATTTATGCTAATAAATATTGTCAACACTACTTTTCGAGAACATACCTATTCATCTTGTCTTGTACATGATTTAATTAAAGTATAAATCAGATAAATACACAGAGATCGTGTTTGACAGAAATATCGAAATACATTGGAGAAAACAAAATATCTACGATTTTAATGAAAATCAATTTCTTTCCCTTTATGTTTAGAATCACACAGTGTCACAAAAATGATAGGCAAGTGTTGGATTGTAAAATATGAGTAAATGGAGTGTGAAAAATTTAACACTTCCTTGCAAATTCCTGTAATATAAAATAAAGCACATTTGTCAAAGTGTTTCTTACTCATTATCCATATTCAAAATATTGACACATTGAAAAACGACATGAATGAGCCAAACTGAGCCTAAAACTCAGTTGAGGTAAAATTTACTACATTCAAAATATGCGTTACACTAGTTGCTACAATCAAGAATATTTCAGCAAACAATTCTAGAATGTAACCTTTTTCCTACATTTGTAGAGTATTTATCATTCATTTTTCTTTATCTTTTCAAAATATTTCTCGATTTCTTCTTTTTGCTCCTGGAAACGTCTGTCAATATACTTCTGCTGTCTATCAATAGCCTCCAATATTCTGTCTGTCTCTATGTTTGATTGTAATTTTGTTTCAGCTGGAATAAAAATGGAATTGTTTACAGGTAGACCAAGAGATTTCAAAATATTTTCTATCGGTGTAACCAGACATGTTCCTCGCGTTGTAAGTCCAATTGCCATTCCAATACAACATAAAGTGTCGTCTTGTATATAAAACACAAGAGAACCCGAGTCACCTACTTCAAAAAAATTGTCATGTGTTAAGCTTTCAATTTCCATTTGGTTGTATACATTAACGTCACATGGGATATCGGTATATCCTATGCTATCATATAACTTTAGAGTCTCTTTGTATTTTATTCGGACATGCATATTTTCATTGAACAAAGATCCTAAAGTTAAGCCAGTTCTAGCTCCAAATTTAAGGACACTACCAGAGGTATCTCCTATCCTTTCATTTAGAATCACGGTGCCTCTAAATGCCACTGGGTTGTGTGCATCAAATCCTAAAAATAAAACAAAATGTACTGTGTATATATGTATCATCCACATAATTTTCTTACATTTGATATATTTCAAATGCTTTAAGGACCAATGCACGGTAATTTTTCATGGAGTTGAAAAGCTCCAATTCTTGAAGAAACGGTGTGCTTTATTTGAATGTCTATAGATTATGTTGTACACTTCTTCCAAAACTATTTTGGATAAAAGAAACATCTAAAATACATGTTTACTTTTTCATATATATCTTTCATTGAGTCATCCAAAAATTTTCAACATTGGTATCCTTAAAAAACCCTGGTTATTCATGTTATTATTTTTTTTATCTTATGACACTTAAATTTAAACTGAAGAATATCTAAAAATAAATTATCAGTAAATAGGGTACGTTGCATATGCCCTTAGGAATAAAACAAAGTTCTGCTAAGATATGCTGATGTTAAAGAGTTTTTGTTAAAAAGTTCTCTTTTCTGAAATTATAGAAACCTTATATCATTTAATTTTTGTTCTATAAAAATGCAAAGTTTGTCGAGAGTACAAAGTCTTTAACTATGAGAATATAAGAATTGCAAGAAAAGTGGTTCTAAAAGAAGGATATGGAGATAATGAACAGTATTCAATCTCAAATTCCATAAAACAATACAAAATAGGAGCAGAGCGAACACAATGCCCGAAACATCAGAGGTGGGATCATATGTCATGGAAGAGTGAGCATCCAATGCTGACCGGTCATACCCATCATGTGTGTCATGATCGGGAAATAACTGAAAAATCTGTCGTTAAGTTATTGTATAATAATGGACTAACAATTAGTATAAACAAAAACGTTAGTCAGCATTTTACTCAATCATAAATTGTAATTTCAGGCAATCCAAGGTCATTGTATCGACCATAGAACTTACGAAATGATGACTTTAATCGAGACTGCAGATATTCTTTTTTTTTTTTTGTCATCAAATTGTTTGTCAAAAATTTACCTCGTTTTAGAAATTATTCATAAGTATAGCATGCTATTGCGTATCGAATCAACTAAGATATATATAATCCTTTGCATAAGAGAATTAATTGCTAATGTAGGAGAACTGTGTTAGGTATCGCTTCAACAACATTTATCTAATCCTTCTACCAAACAATGATTGTAATTTTATATTAATACCTTGTCGTTTCACGACAAACTGAGGATGTGAGCGTTCAGCAGGGGAAACTCACTCCACCATCGCACCTGATCTCACCTCGGATGTGTCGGCGGTCCGTGTTCGCTTTGCTCCTATTTTGTATTGTTTTATGGACTTTGATATTGAATATTGTTCGTTATCTCCATATCCTTCATCGAGAGCTTGTAAATATGATTTTGAACAAAAAATGACCTTGTCCACAAATACAATTTGCTGATTAAATACTGTTGGTTATCACCACATACTTCATTTTATTCATATTGTACTATGCAAACGTGTATATTTGAAAAAAAAATACCTGCAGATATTAATTGTTCTGCTGGTACATTACGGAAGCCTGCAACACTGAATGATGAATCAAGTTCTATAAAGGCTGCGTCAACACTACATTCAATTGCTTCGTTGTTTTTCGGGAATTCGGCGGTGACAATTTTTCCGCATACCTTAAATGAACGAGATTTTCGTACAAACGCTTCCACCTCGTCTGCGTTATTGTGCCGGTCGATGGTTCTGTTTTTCAGTTCGTGGAGTGCTAAAACTCCATGAGCACAAGTGATTAAACCAATTTTGCCATTGTTATTGACGAACCCTGCACTTTTACTTCCTTTACGGCGAATATGTCCTCCAATTTCAAGGGATCCTCCAATCCCAAGCATGCAGCTACCCTCCTGAATATCTACTTCAAAACCTCCTATTTTTCTAGGAAACTCTTCCTCACCATAGGGAATATATCCTTTATGTAGGCATAGTAATAGAACACAAGGTCCTTTCGAAATTTTATGCTTTCCTTTTGAATATCCAATTGACTTGTACGGTGAAGCTGATATCATCGTTAGATTTGAGTGTTCACAAAAAAGTTTTCTGGCGGCTTTTGCTGAGATTGTTGGTAAAGGTTTCTTATCGTATGTTGTTGGAAAAGACCTCAAAACACTGGCTGCTTCCTCAGAAGGTTTCGTTTCATGATAGAAGAGAGGTTTCTTTCCCATGACTGTTTCCTGGGTAATATCGAACTCAACAGTCCCCTTATACAATATTACAATAGTCACTTGACATCCCTTTCCGCAGTCATAGCAGAAGTACAACTGAATTGAATTACGCAGGAGACTCGGATATTTTGTTAATATCATATATTTCGCTGACTGCAAAATTGTGTCTACTGCCAGGGTACTTACTGTGTTTATATTCTTACTAAATATTGTATCCAAACCGAAATCAAAATGATATCCATACAAACGTACGAGCTCTGTTATTAGTATCCAGTTTCTGTTTTCAATGGCAAAATTAACAAATTCTTTAATGATTTCAAGCTGATCTTCATTTTCTTTAACTTTTCCAAGAATCATTTTTGTCTTAATGGTAATTAGAACGCTTAAAGTACTAAATAAACATTTACATTTCTTTGACCGTGCCTCTTCTATCTTATCGCTGCAATAATAAATCCATTTTGAGATATTCTGAATGTTTGATTGTTTGCAGGCTGTTATTGTTTCTGAAGAACAATGAGAAGTTGATCTACAAATACCGCTGCAATCTATATACTCAATACTAATGAGCATGACCTGAGATTCACTCACTGATTTATTTCTCTTTAATGTATTAATTCGGTCGGAACTATTTGATCTTCTATGACGTGATGTTAATCGAATAGGAACCCATTTGTCTGTAATAAAGAAATGTTTTTAAAATAAATTGATGGAACTTTATTGTACTGAATACTTTCTAAAGACGAAAATGTTCTTATAAATGTGCTTTATATCCCCCTCCGCTTGAAAAGCGGGAGGGTATATAGAGATTGGAATGTCCGTCGTTTTGACAATCTGTAAGTCCTTCCATCTAATACGCTTTTGGGTGCCCATCTCTTATCTTCAAAGACTCTTTATTATATATAGCCGTCGTGCACCTCGAATTTTACTTTTTGATCAGATATTTTGGAGTTTCCCAGAGCAAAACATGGACACTGCCATTATATTCATATGGGAGGCGGGGGTATCATTTAGTGACTTAATTCCTCAAGGTACCTCTAATCTTATACCTACATTTTCTCCGTTTTTATTATATGCCAACTCTGCAATGGATTTGAATACTATTTTCATGCACTCAGGCGAAAAAATAAACTTGGAAAAACTCGCACTAAAATGACGTCACAAAAGGACTACAGATACGAAAGTAAAGAAAATTTTTTAATTTTGTGGGGATTTGCTTTCTCGGGTGAAGAACTGTGGAGTAGTTATGGATGTAAAAATTTTACATTTCATGGTGGACATGAATTCTGGGTCATTTAATATCTTGAAAAGAAGAAGTAACCCCCCTTGAAAATTTGTGATTTCACGGTTTTCAATTCAATAGGAAATGGGGCGTTTTGGCCACTTTGCAAATCATGTAGCAATTTTATCATGATTCAAACTCTTCATTTTCAAGTGAATTTTTAAAAAATTATAAATGTGTTTAAGAGTAGACAGTCAAAAATACATTTGACAATAACTACACGTGAAATTGGAAAAAAACTGAAGATGTAGATTGGCTTTAAAGACGGTCACGATTTCAAATTCAAAAGTAAGGGGTTTATTTTTTAAGGGAACTGTTTTCTCTTGAAGCTCATAAATATAGCTTTGCTTATTTTTTTAATATTGACAACTAGTAAAAGGTCAAGTCAATTTCTTGCGGCTCTCTCTCTCTCTCTCTCTGCTTGATGTCAGTTTTCGGGGCTCGAAATTAACACCAAATGTCCATATATGTTAGATCTTTGAAACAATTTTTTTTATTTTTTATTTTTTAAATTAAAATCTTTAATTTAAAACATTAATATTCTATGAGTATTCCAACAGATTCTTAGAAACCTTTTCCTCCAGATTACCTAAGAAATTGTCAATGTCTATGAGATACTTCTTATATTTTTCATTTTTTATCTACAATACAAATGTGAAGAAAAAAAGAATATTTTTTCATGCAGGAATATTTCGAAAGAGAGAAAAAGAATACTTTTTTCATGCAGGAATATTTCAAAAGAGAAAAAAGCATACATTACCATGCATAACTATTTTCTGTTTTAGATATACGATTACCTCCACTAGCCCTTTCAATTAAAACCCTTTTGGCTGCCTGTTGATGGATGCTGGATCTTAAATTTGAACAGAGATCATCAGAGAAATCACTAAGGTCATCTGCGCTATCACTGCCAGACTTTTCTCTTACCACAGGTCCTATACAAAAAGTTCAGAATTTAGCCAGTACCATATTTATATTGCCATCATTTGCTTTTGTCTAATCCAGACAGCTAATCGGTTATATATTTACTTGTTTTTTTTTCATCCGGTTCACAGACCTTAACAAACTTAGTCTTTTTCCTAATGATACTTAGTATTACTCAACATATTTAAGTAGAACAGAACCACATTTTTTTTTTAAATTGTTGAACCTGTAAGAATTGGTTGAAGTTAATCTTTAGCTAAAAATTTTGATAAATTGAAGAACAAGAATACTGCTATTTATCTCTTTATGTTCTTTTAAGCCCTGTTTTCTTCTCTGTATTTCTTCTAATGTTCGAATGATTTAAAGTCCAGGTATTCTGAATACTGTTTTCCCCCGAGTAAGAAAGGAGTGAGGTCGAAAGAATCATCAGTGTAATCACTTCCTCTCTTCTTTTTCCACACATGCTCCTGTATGGGAATCTTTTAAGAATTTTTATTTAAATAGAAATGGAAGCTAATTCATTTCCAATTTTTAGCAATTTCAAGGTTACAATAACTGTACAATGTATATGATGAAACGTGTGAATTTTCTTTGAATGATTTACATGCTCATCAAATCCACAACTTTTATTATTCTAAGAAGGAGAATTAATATAAAATATAAAAAAGTATAAATCTACACCAAAAGATTGATAACATTAGTATAGTGAAAGCTTTACAATCAGTTTTGTTATTGGTACATGTATTAATACTATATTGATAAAAAAGTACACTTTATACATTGTTGTTGAGATTCACAAAAAAATATCTCATCTTGCTCAATAGATTCTCGAAAAATAACCTCATGTTAGTTTATAGTCTTATATCTCATAAATTGTACTTTTGCCGGTGTTACAAAAAATCTAAAAACCAATGCAAAAAATATACATCTCGAAGAATACAAATTTTCAACATATAATGTAGTCACCAGGGTCTTATTTATTTCTCTTATTCCAATTAAAACTTTGTATTAATGTTATTCCAGCCTCGATTTAAATTTGAATGAACAAAATGCATACACACTAGATTTTGTTTTCTTACCAATCTGAAATGTTCCGTACAAACAAACATCGGTATATATTCACGCTCTGGTTTTTCTCTGATCCAACCCAAACAGAGTGAGATTTTTCATTACAACACAGACCCCAAGGTTTGTAGATGCAGTTCTGTGATATCATCGGAATCAGCGATAGAAAATTACCGTCCTGGTCTAATATCTGAATTGTGGAAGTATATTGATCACACACCAAGATGTGTGACATGACGTCTGTAGAGATTCCACGTGGTGAGAGTTCTGATTCTAAAGAAAGTCCTATGTAGGAGAAGCGGTGTCTTCCCCCACTCTCTGTCACCACTAAACGGTGCCAGTCAGACACAATTATGTCGCCATTACGGTTTTCTGTGATGTAAAGAGGCCATTTATACAGCACTTGCTTTATTTTCTCGCACTCTTTGAAATGAATGTTTTCTCCTTTGGGGGTATACTTGACTACTTTGCCCGAATATGTATCATTATTAAACATCCCGACCAGCAGGTCTCCATTGGAGCTGTGCTGTACTGTTATTGTTGTGTTTACTCCGTAATCTGTAGGCAGCTTATTGATGTTATATTCACTGTCTATATAAATTAAATCTCATTCAATCGTCACAGTGTGTATTCCCCATACACAATTTATATCAGTCAGCCGATAAAATTCCTCACCTGCCGTGTTTTTCAGAATGTGATGTTTGCCATCGCTGATCCAGACCCGGTCTGATTTCACGCTGGAAATATGATGACCACCACGAACACCTGTCACTGTGACAGACTTCTGCTTCACTAGTTTAGACATCTTTTACCGCAGAAAATCATTCTTTAATTGTCTTCTTTCCTGTAGTTTCTCTCTATAACATAATTCAGTGTTGTTTATCAGCATGAAATATCTAAATTACTGCAAGTCTAAACCTATACATGTATAACCTGCATCATCAACGGGCTTTTTTAAGAAAAAAAAAAACGTGTTGTAGATATATAACTTGTCTCCCCCAAGATTGTTTTAAGTGTACCAATTCATTTGCATGTATCTTTACAGACATTTGATATAGAAAAATACGTATTTTAAATTTGTCTCCTTGAATCATATTGAAATTGAACTAAAAGTGTAGGAAGAAAAACATTCTGAAAAAAGAAAGTGTTATACGGACAGACTTTCAGTCAAGCTGACAGAAGGACGGACCAGAAATAACATACAATGTGGCGAAAGCTTCTGTAGGCGTAGAGAAGGATAGTTAGAAGAAAGGATTCTTTCTTATATTTCGATCATACAACTATGTTAGCAGTTCAGTCTGCAAAAATGATAATCATGGGTACCTGACAAGGGGATTGTGGCCAGTCCTAATTAAAATATTTGACACACCTTTTCAAGGAATATTCTGAGTAATAACATATTTCCTATCCTTGATCCAATCCTTGTAATGTTGGAATACATGTCCAAATCTTTTTTGGACACTGTATTGTGTATTTGTATATAATATATTGCTCTTGTTTTGTATTGTTTTTATGGAATATAAGATTGATTGTTCGTTTTCTCCATATCCTTCATTGTTAATATATAACCAATTTAATCCAATCATGAAACTTGGACCGTTCACGGTAGCTCAATTGGTCGAGCGCTCGCTCTGTGATCGGGAGGTCGTGAGTTCGTATCTCGGCCGCAACTGACCTAGTCGGTAAAATGGGTAGCAACTGTTCCTTCGCCATGCGCTCGGCACTTTGAAGT